TCAACAAAACAAGGTCCATTTCTTTACATACATGGGGAGGGGTTCTACATGTGAAGGGGAAAAGAGGAAGAGAAGCATGCGCGTGACACTCTGGACAAAGCATATTAAAATATTCATGACCCTCATTTCTAATTCTGAAATGTTGGCAGATAGGACAAAGCCAAGCAAATTTTTCCATTTGTGCAAGATTTGGGGCCCCGTTGCATTCTCCTTCCCCCCCCACCCTCTCTCTGTCTCTCTCCCTCTCTCTCTCTCTCTCTCTCCCCCTTTCCCTTAAAATTGTCTTAAAAATGAAACCAAACAAAATTGTGATAACAACAGCAATAGCACTTAGTGCTTGCCTCTGCAGGCAGTTTACAATGCCACCATATTGCCCTCAACAATCTGTGCCCTCATTTTACTGACCTTGGAAGGATGGAAAGCTGAGTCAACCTCCAGCTAGTCAGGATTGAACTCCTGGCTGTGGACAGAATTAGGCTGCAATACAGGTAGTCCTTGACTTGCAACCACAATTGAGCCCAAAGTTTGTGTTGCTAAGCGAGACAGTTGCTGTGAATCTTGCCCCATTTTATGACCTTTTTTGCCACAGCTGTTAAGTGAAACAGTGCAATTGTTAAATTAGTCATACCGTTGTTAAGTGAATCCGGCTTCCCCATTGACTTTGTTTGTCAGAAGGACGCAAAAGGGGAATCACATGACCTTGGGACACAGCAGCAGTCATAAATGTGAACCAGTTGCCAAGCATCTCAATTTTCATCACATGATCACGGGGTCATAACTGTGCAAAAATGATCAGAAATCTTTTTTTTTTCAGCGCCACTGTAACTTTGAACAGTCGCTAAATGAAATGTTGTAAGTCGAGGACTACCTGTATATCAAAATAGTCAAGATGACACCTGCAATTTCATAATAGAAGCCACTGTAGAAGTTGCCAAAGTCCACATTTGTTGACCCCACTATGTATGTTGTAGGAACCCAGCTTGTTGTGTGGCCAGTCCATCAGCAGCAATGCAGGTTTAGTTAGTTCTTAGTAACCACCATAAGGACTAGCAACTTGGTCATTCAGTGAAGTCCTTGCATGTGAAACATCATGATTTTACAATCTTGTTTCAGCTTTCCTGGCTTTACAGACCTGCAAAGATGACAAATGTGAGAACTTAGGGGGATTGGGTAGAAAATTTTCACAAGTAGCGAAATCAAACAAACAAGGCTAACACTCTAATGACTTTAGCAATTCTAAGAAGGAGAGCTGCTTGGAGCCCCGTTTTCCTCTTCTATTTTTTTCTTTTTAAACCCATAGAGGAGAAAGATGTACTTTGCATAACTCGCCTCTCTTTGTTTTGTTATGCTTCGCAAGCTGCTAGTAATTAGCACATTTCCACTGTTGCTTTTATATTCTCAATGGGCAGCCCTTTGCCAAGACTGGCAAGTTCCAACCCATAAAATCTGGCCTCTCCAGAAACCCTTTTTTTGGGGAATGCATTAGAGAGGACGAGAAAAAGAGGGGAAAATGTGCCCTAAGCGCTGAGCTTTTCGTTTGAATTTGCTCTTTGTGGAATATTATTTATGGCCATGTGAAACATAATGAAGGAAGGCGAGCCCTCCCTTTGCTCCGATCGAGCGGCTGGGTAGCGCATGGCGCCTGCCTGCCGTTTATCTCAAGATATTCATCTTCTGGAGTTCTCACAGCCAGTGTCGCCTAAGAATACGTTGGCATGATCCAGCGAGTGCGTGAATGAGTCAGCGCAAACTCTCAGGCATGCTTTGGGCTGGAGCAGGACAGAAGAGACGAGAGACAAGAGAGTGGGAGAGAGCAGAGTTGGTCACAGGGAGGTGGGCAGCTTAGCTAGAAAACTATCTATCTGAAACTGCCGCTGCCACAGCAGGGCAGGAATGTTTTCAGGGGATATGGAAGACGAAAATTATACAGTCGGCTGGGATCCAGGTGAAGGGTTGCCTGTGTACCTAAGAAGCAATGCTTTATTTATTTTTTTGCCTCTGAGGAGAATAATTGTTGGAACGTGTTGGGCGCAACACATTAAAACTTTCTACCCAAGCCTCCATTTGAGAGCTAATTTTCATTTCATTTTTGCTTAAAAAATTGTTTTAAAAGACCCAAGGGCCAAACAAGAAGTAATTTTCTTCAGACCCGTAGCTGGATTTCCAAATGTCTCCAAATAATTGGTTAAATCTCATTTTCTGCCTACTGCAGAAGAAAGAGAAGAAAGGGGAAAAAATGGGTTAAGGTTTGAGGAAGAGTCTGTAATAGAATGAGAGAACGTGTAGAAAATCTTTGATTTGGTTCCAAGCATCTCCAATGGCAGACAAAATAACAATACAAAATTTCTTGGGTCTGGATTATTTATTATTTATTTCCTAGCTTACTTAAGACACTTCTTTTACATGGAAATATTGGAAAATTCCTTGTGTCTAGTCAGAGAATTGGTCTGTTGACTTTAATATCTACTTGGAAATTCCTGGGATTAATAACGATGTGATCGATAGTGTTGAAACTCTCAGTACAATTTATGAAGCCACTCCAGATCATAGACTGATTTGAAAAATTGCAATGACAATGGTGGAACTAGAGAGGAAGCAAAATCAAGAGAAGAAGAAAAGAATTTCAGAATTGCATTTTACAGTTCCTTTGAGTGATTCAGCCTTCAGCCCAGATGGGAAGGATTCTCAGAATTTACTTGAATGAATTTGGAGGAACCAGCCCCCATTATCCCCACCCACAAAGGTATTTTTAAAAACCCTTTAAGATTCATTATTACAAGCACAGGTAGTCCTTGACTTACGACCACAATTGGGCCCAAAATTTCTGTTGCTAAGTGAAACCTTTGCTAAGTGAGTGTTGCCCCATCTTATGACCTTTCTTGCCACTGCTGTTAAGCGAATCGTTGCAGTTGTTCAATTAGTAACCTGGTTGTTAAGTGAGTCTGGCTCCTCCATTGATTTTGCTTGTCAGAAGGTCACAAAAGGTGATCACATGATCCTTGGATACTGCAACTGTCATAAATATGAATCACTTGCCAAGCTTCTGAATTTCGATCACGTGACCACGGGGGAAGCTGTAATGGTTGCAACTGTGAAACATGGCCATAAGTCACTTTTTTCAGTGATGTTATAACTTTGAACAGTCACTAAATAAACTGTTGTAAGTCAAGGACTGCCTGTAGTCCTCAACTTACAGCCATTCATTTAGCGACTGTTCAAAATTACAGCAGCACTGAAAAAAGGGACCTATAGCCGGTCCTTGCACTTACAACTATTACAGCGTTTCCTTGGTCACGTGATCAAAAATCTGTTGCTTGGCAACCAGCATGTATTCGCTATGGCTGCAGCATCCTGGGGTCACGTGATCATTATTTGCAACCATCCTAGTTGGCTTCAACATTCAAAGTCAATGGGGGAAATCTGGATTTGGTTAATAGCCATATGATTCACTTAGCAAGTGCAATAATTCGCTTAACAACCGTGACCAAAAAAAAAGGGTCATAAAATCAGATGTAATTCACTTAAAAACCATCTTGCTTTGCAATGAAAATGCTGGTTCCACCTGTAAGTTGAGGCTTTTCTGTAATTGAAATTAAACAGGATGACCTGATCTCACCATCTTCTCGGCTAAAGTAGGTAAAACACGTTCCCAACCAGAAACCCAGAATGTTGGAAATGCAAAAGTGAACAGGGCACCTTCTTCCACATGTGGTGGATATGCTCGGAAGCCAAGAGTTATTGGAGTAGGATTAAAAAGTGGATGGAAAGAAACACACACAAAAAAAATTGAATTCGGACCGGAACTGTTTTTATTGGGAATAATAAGGGGAGATTATACTAAGACAGACCAAATACATCATTTTACATATAACAATTGCGGCCAGAATTGTGTACACAGAGTACTGGAAATAGGATAATACACCATCTGAGGGGACAGTGATAAGAAAGATTTTGGACCGTGCTGAGATGGACAGGCTGGCCTTAGAGTTAAAAGGTAGAGGTGAATCTGGTTATTATTTGGTCTGGGATGCCTGGTACATCTGTTTAGACAATAGACACAAAAGTAATACAGTAACTAATATATGAATATGAATGTTGGTGATACTGGAATGTTGTTGAAGGTATTGATATGTTATAAATTGTTGGGAAATGTTTAATAAAATTTATTTTAAAATAATAATAATAAAGTTGGTAAAACATGGTTGCATCCTCAGAGAGGGTTAAACTTGCTGGGTTAGTGTCAGCTGATGCTCCATCCACCATCTTGCTAGTTTTAACCCACCCGTCCTACAGATGCCAGCAGTTCTTGGAGCTCCTGCAGATTTGGGAAGAAATGCCAAAATTAGTCAAGCTGTTTCTCCTCTCTTGCCAAGGAAGCAGCGTTGTCCAGAAGAAAGAGATTTCTTTCTCTTCATTCATTTTTCCTTTTGCAGTTGCTGTGAATTAAAACAACAACAACAACACAACCTCTTACTGTAGAAATAACATGACCTACACTAAGCGAGCTTTCGACGGTGTGTTTATCACCTCCGTCCCTCAGGCTTGTCTCTGTACAAACAGACCACCCAAACCTGGCAGGGTCTCTAGACTTCCTCTGTGTCGCCCTCTTTGTGTATGCCAAAGCAGATGGGCTGGTGAGCTTTAGGACTCACTGCTGTGTTGTCTGTGTGTAGCCCTGGAGAACAGCTAAACAGTTTCATCCCTGGTTTATAATTGCATCAGCAGAAATCTGGGGGAGACGTTAAGCCAAGGGTCTCCAACCTTGGCAACTTTAAGACTTATAGACTTCAACTCCCAGAATTCCTCAGCCAGCATAGCTGGGAGTTGAAGTCCACAAGTCTTAAAGTTGCCAAGGTTGGAGACCTCTGCATTAACCTATTGCAGCAAATCCTTCACCCCACAGTGTTGTTCCCTGAAACAGATTTAATTTGCTGCAAAAGAAGTTCAAAATTAACAGTTTCTCTCCTATTTTCTCTCCCCTTCTCTCTTTCCAAAATTAGGTACCTCTGAACTTAGCCCGTTCTCCGACCCACGGCAGTTTGATCGGTCCTTCTCTGCTCTACCAGGCCTCACCGAGACCCGGTTTCCAGACCCAAGAATGCATTACCCTGGTGCCATGCCTGCGGCCTTCCCTTACACAGCGACACCATCCGCCACGGGAATCGGTGGCCTCAGTATGACCAGCATGCCAACGGCCACTAGGTTCCACCACACCTACCTTCCCCCACCGTACCCCAGCTCCACCCAAAACCAGAGTGGACCCTTCCAGACCAATCCTTCTCCCTACCACTTGTACTATGGTGCCTCTTCCGGATCATACCAGTTCTCCATGGTGGCAGGAGGAGAGCGCTCACCAACCAGGATGTTGCCATCTTGTCCAAGTGCCACAGTAGGAAACAACTTGATCAACCCCAGTCTCACCAGTCAGGCTGATGGTGTGGAAGCAGATGGTAGCCATAGTAACTCCCCAACAACCATGACAACAACCGGGAGGATGGACGAAGCTGTCTGGAGGCCATATTGAAAGAGCACTGAAGGCCAAGCCATGTTCTTCACCAATTGGTGGGTCAAAGGAGAAAAGAACCAAAAAGAGCTGCAACTGGCGATCCTGTCCACTCCATCTCCAAAGTGGCCTTGGCATCCCAAAATGAGATCGTTCTTGTCCAAAACATAAGATAATAAGAAACGGAAAAAGCACAGGAAGGCTAGAGATAGCATGAATTTGGATACATTTCAAAACAAATCTTCATAGGTTCTTCTCAACAAATGATCTGCAGCAGCCTTTCCCCAACTTGGGGCATCCCGATGGATTTGGACTACTTGGAGTTGTTACCTGCACACACCTTGGTGTCTCTCAGCCACGAAAGACTGTCTGTTGTGTCCAGAACAGACAAAAGAATAGGTAGAAAAGAAATACTCTTCTCTGTTGTAGCAAAAATGGCCAAACACAAAAAAGCTCTGGTTCAGCATTTCCAACATGGTGTCTCCCAGATAGGTCAGATAATACCTTCCAGTATCCCCAGCCAGCTTGGAGATTATGGGAGGTGTAATCCAACACATCCAGAGAACAGCTGGTTAGAGAAGGTTGTCCTTAGCAATCATCTCAAAGGCCAAGCAGTGTTTCCAATGGGATGGATGGATGGATGGATGGATGGATTAAAGGTTCTTGATATTAGTCCCTCGAATAAGGGAGCTGATGACAGAGGTCTGTGAATCCAGGTCAGGCTGAATGTTTCCCTGTTTTGCACTGCACACGCTTTCTCCTCTCTTAAGATGAGGCAAGAACAAAAAGTGGAAAGTGGATCCATTCTTTCCATCTCTTGTGAATTTGTGACCAATTGATTGGTGCTTCTCCAGTCACAGCCATAAACCTGAGTCATTAACGATCCCCATCCAGAGCAGGCAGAATCTTAGATATCAAGGCCTGAGTTGATACAAAACAGCTTTGTCTAAAAGTGAGCAGAGCTAAACAAGGACGGGATTTCTGGTTGGGTCGTAGCTTTTTGCACTTATTCAAACGATAACAGCCCTCTAGTTTTTGAATGTGGTAGGAAGGTTTTGGCGCTAACCAAGTGTCCACATCCTTACTCCTCACTACTTCAGAGGGTACAAGCAACAGTGGCTGGTCTCCACCAGTCCTAGTGAGATGGAGACAGAGCTAAAAAGAGCCTCATTTGCTGACATTCGCAGCAAGGCTCAGACCCAAATTTAGTCCTTTCATGAATTAGGACCACAGTTTGACCAAGCAGTTGATCTAAGATCCCAAGTTCAGCATCTTGTCCAGAGACTAAGCCAGGCGAGGCATCTCCTGCAGGTGGCTGTTCTTGGCTATATTAGTTGTATGAAAAAAATATTCTGCTCATTCTCTTTTTAAAAAAAAGAGGCATCAAGGTGTAGATCCTTGGAGGGTGTTCAGTGTGGGAGCCAAGGGTGGTTGGTTTTTTTGTCTTCGTTTTGCTACTGTTAAGCCAGTGCAATGTCTATAACTTATCCCATCGCCACATCTTACACAGCTCAAAAAGGAAATATCACTTGCACACACACACACACACACAGAGAGAGAGAGAGAGCACGGAGTTCTTGGGTGGGAGAGGAAGACAGGAAATATTTGGTTGTTGTTGTTTTTTTAAATCCTAGAGCACCACCCAAAATTAATCTCTAGCTTTGGTCATGATTTAAATAAACCTGTTCTGTTCTTCCTTACTGTTGTTTTCAGTCTAATAAAGAAACCGGTGTGTTTTGCCTAAGGTTGGAGTCAAAATCTGAGTAACAACTAGATTGTATTCTTTAAAAAAAAAAAAAAAAGGAAGAGAGGGGGAATTGTCCTTAGGTGTAACCTTAAACCTGCATGACACCAAATAACCTTTATTGAGCGGAGCTTTATTTTTGCAACCTGGAGCCCTCCAAGTGTTTAGTTGATAAACCTCCAAAATTCTGAGCCAGAATCCCTTCGGGTAAAAAAACATAAGGATCAAGTCCAGTGGTGGGATTCAATTTTTTTTACTACTGGTTCTGTGGGCGTGGCTTGGTAGGCGTGGCAGGGGAAGGATACTGTAAAATCTCCAGTCAGAGGTGGGATTTGCCGGTTCTCCGAACTACTCAAACTTTCTGCTACTGGTTCTCCAGAACTGGTCAGAACCTGCTGAGTACCACCTCTGATCGAGTCCAGCAGATCTAAAGGGTGCCAGGCAGTCAAGGTGATCCTATGGGATCTGCAGATAGCAGACGTGTAACAGAAATCGGCAAGCATGTCACGTCTGAATTCCCCGTTTCAACAGGTCAAATAACTCAAGAAGGCAGCCACATCCATCCTAGTAAAGCTCCACCACTTTTTCACGTGCTTCACATCCCATCTTTGAAAAGGGCAGGGTTTTGAGGGTGTGACTGTGGACGCCATCTTGCCTTTTTTGACTCCCCCCCTCCCTGCAGGCACCCTTGCCATTTACCAACTGCGACAGTATTATATTTAGGGTGACTGGCACCCTCTGCCTCAGGTCCCCTTTTGTAACATCCTGCGGGTGATGGATATTATCAGGAAACTTGGAAGGGTCTTCCCCCTTGGTCCTCATAAATATTTAGCCTTGAAACAACCGTGACTGGATCTTTCAAAATCGTTTTGGGTCATTCATTCACATCCATATCTGAGAGCTTGTTTGGAACACCCAGGAAACTGAAAAGATTCTCCTTGATCTGGTCCTCTCCTTTGCTTTAACTGACATCCATGGTTTATCTAAGACAGTCTTTCTCAACTTTAGCAACAGATCGCTGGCTGGGGAATTCTGGGAGTTGAAGTCCATCTTTGCTGGCTGGGGAATTCTGGGAGTCAAAGTCCACATGTCTTAAAGTTGCCATGTTTGAGGAACATTGATCTACATTCTGCACTTAGAGCACCCATGCTTTCCAAGCGGCAAAATTGGAAGATCAGATATGGGGTTGGTTTCAAATTCTGATTCGGACAAAGGGGAGATGGTGGCCTGTCTATACTCAGGGATGCATTTAGCCTTGTATAAACACCAGATCTTAGTTAAAGCGCTGTGGGCAGTGAGGGCCAGCAACATGGTAGTGAACATGTTCTCAAATGAGCAGAGTACCTTAGTCTGTTCTCCAAAGATGTATTTTATAGGATATTGTACGAGGCAGAGAAATTTGAAAGAGACTGTGTACCTATTGTAATTTCTTGCTAGTTGTAACTTGCAAACCACAGCCAAAGGTTCAGGTTTATGACAGACTGTTGTCCCCAGATGTGAAAAAAACACACGCATCTCTTTTATACAACTGGTCCAATATTTGGCCCAGGTTTCTTTGTTGATGTTATTGTTGTTGCTTTGCACTATAGTATGCTTTTTTTAAAAAAGAAAGGAAAAGATGCACAATAACTTGTACAAAAGATTCTTTCCTCGGCTCATGGAGTATTTAACTGAAAAAAAAAAGTCTACTTTTGGGTCTTTATTTGTTAAAATAATATAAATCTTTTTAAAAATATTGTTGTTGAAGGATCCCAGTTCCTAAATCTGCTTAGAATTTTTATGTCTTGAAGTAACTTTTGTTTTGTTTTCTAATTTTAAACAGAATGGCAATTGATTGGTGGGGGGGGGGGGAAGCCTTTGGAGGATGTAGATAGATTGTGTTTAACACAAGGAAAATTAGAGCATTTGTTTTCCCTTCCTTCCTTTTGCTGTACTGAAGCTAATTTCAATTATTAATATCTTTAAAAATATGTTAATAATATTTAAAAGGTGAGAGTCTGCACCATAATCCCGTCCTACTTGGTGATACCTTTATTTTGAATTGTAACTCTCCTCTCTTCCCACAGTTTTGTCTTTCACACATGTAGCATTTGCAAGCTGGGGTTGGGAAGAGACCCAGATCCCACCAAAAACTTCAACAGTTCTAACCCAAAATTTGCTGATGTCATGCAAAGCACTTCTAAACATTGGAAGTGGTGAATATTGCCTTCTCTTGCCCCTTCAGGCTGTGCCCTATGGAAGCTCATTGCCCCTTACAAACAGGGTGAGATGCACCAGCTTTCCAAAACTGTGGCAGGAAGAAAACATCTCCTCCTTAACTGGTGGTAAACTGGGAATTCAGTCTGCAAGGAAGCCATAGCAGAGCCATCAAGCTTGTTCCTCTTTCCTAGAGGGGGAAAAAAAAAACCCTAAAAGTTCCATGTTTTTAAAGCAAATATACATGATTGCTAACTGTAACGTGTAATCATTTTGATGCCTTACCATGTGGAATAAATAAAGGTATGGTTATTGACTGAATATGTCGCTTCTTGCCTTGCCTTGAAGAACATCCTCTGTTTTTCACCTGCACCTACACTACATGAATCAGGGGGTTAGTCTTTCCAGGTCTTAACACTCATTATTTCCTTTCCCCCAATGTCTCCAACACCATCCCAAGCCAGTGCTCAAGACCTTGCCTTCTGTTGAGCCTCAATACAAGGGAAACATGAAGAGGTTAAAGGTAAAGAGCGGGGGTGGTGCAGTGGTTAGGATGCAGAATTGCAGCTAACTCTGCCAACCGTCAGCAGTTTGATTCTCAACGGCTCAAGGTTGATTCAGCCTTCGATCCTTCCTTATTTGATCGGTAAAATAAAAACCCAGATTATTGGTGGCAAGATGATGACTCTGTAAACCGCTCAGAGAGGGCTGTAAAGCTCTGTGAAGGGGCATATAAGGCTAAGTGCTGAGTGCTAAAGGTTTCCTCTGTGCAATTATGTCTGGCTCCAGGGGCCAGTGCTTATCTCCATTTCCTAGCTGAGGGAACCAGAATTGTCCAAAGATGCTTCCATGGCCATGTGGCTGGAATGACTATAAACCAAGGCTCATGGAACACTGTTACCTTCTCACTAAAATGGTACCTATTTATCTAGTTGCATTTGCTTTCTTTGGCAGGAGCTGGAGCAAGAATGGGAGCTCACAGGATATTTGGGTCTTAAACTGCCAACCTTTCGGTTGACAAGCCCAGCATCTTAACTGCTAGGTCACCGTGCCCCCTATGAAGAGATTATCCTGAACCAAATGGCATTCCCTTGGGCTAATCAAGAGGAGAGTGAAAAAAATACCATTTAATCTTCTGGAAATATTCATGCCATCTTGCCGTATCCTGCCTTGCTGCAGTTCCCAAGCAAGTGATGGGGAAAGGAGAGAACACAGGCTGTTTTGCATCCAGATGTTGCAGCATCTGGAAGGGGGAAAAGGCAAATTTAGACAAATGGAAGCTTCTATAATGGGTAGTTAAAAATCTCTCAGGAATCAGGAGGGGAGATGGATCAAATATTCGGGCCAGGGAAGTGTTGTCTACCACCAAGATCCACAAAGGAGTAAATTGTAGCAGAAACACCACCTTTGATCTGGTTTCCTATAAATGCAGCAGGGGGAAAAGGCAGCCAATGGAAAATAATATAACTTAGGGTTGAACGGTGGGGTCTTCAGTGCTCTCTAGGCTTAGTGGTTTTGTTGACCTTTCATTACCCAACATCATTGGTGCTAGAAGGGCATTCTGATGAAGTTACCTAGTTAGGTAATGAAACATCTGCAAGAAAACCACCAAGCTTAGAGAGCATGAAGGATTCCACAGGATTCCAAAGTAGCCAATCTCATATGTTGCCCTAAGCTTGAAGATAGAGTAGTTCGGAACCATGGCCACTACTTTGTGTAGACAGGAAGTTCATTTTGTTTCTTTCTGTGTACTAGCTGTCCATATTGTTTTGTCACAAGCT